AGAAGGCGAAATTCGCCGAAACGTCAGCTTAATCGTGAACAAAGAACAATAACACCTCGCGTTTGCTCAAAAAATACGAACAAAATCACTTGATCAATGCCGAGGTTAATAGAAAGTCGGTCGTGGCAGTTTCTGCTGAAAGAGTTGTCCAGCGCGTTTTGCTAGCTATAGGAATTCTTCGAGCATCATATCTTTTTTTCTAGGGCTTTTGTGGAAAATTCTGATCATCGAGTCTCTGGTATTCCTGTAGCACGTTAGACATTCTGTACAATCTCGTCACTAAAGGCCTTTTCCCATCGATAGTCGTTGCTACGCAATACACCTCCAGACCACGTCATCTTTGACAGTTTGGCACGTCGTTTTAGATATTGGTCGTCGACGTAGGTCGGAGCTTTGGATAGCTTCCATTACTTCCGCAGTAAGGAAGACTCATAGTATCGTCCCATTGACTGTGCGTTCAATATTTTCAAACAGCGTTTTATCCTGCTTACGTTCCGACGACGTTTCTGACGCACACGTCAAGGCTGGGAGAATAGTGGAGTGGAAGAGGAGGGCCTACAGTAGGGTGTTCTTTATTCTCCTCATCATCTCTTCGATGTTCTTGAAAGATCCCGGAGCCGCTCGCTTCATGTTGGTCAACTCTAAAGCTAAATCGTTTGTCACGTTGATTTCCCTATCTAAACGGACGTAATGGAGCATTCGGTGATATTCATTCCGTTGAGCGTGAATGAGGCAAACATAACCAATCCGTTCCTCATAAGCATTATTCCTGTATGATTTAGTAGAAAACCAATCATTCCACAAGCGCTTTCAAACTCGCTAAGCATTTTTTTTGCTCTGCTTCGTTAATGTTTGATGTTCTAAGAACGATGTCATCAGCAAGGTGAAGATGGCACAATTACCGACCATCAATTTTCACTCCTCTGTTGACCCATTCCAATGTTTCCGTGACATACTTGAAGATAGCAGCAAATAATTTTCAAGTTATTGTACCACTTTGCCTAACCCTCTTTTTTTACGTTGATGCTAACACCGTTGCGAAATAGTGATATATTCATAAATATTCTTGTTGAGCAAACACGAAGTGTTATTTGATTACATTCTTTATTCATGAACAAGCCGACTTTTATGCGGATCTTACCTTCCTCAGAGCCTGGAAAGGTCGAGTTGACCGCAATCTACCTAGCCAAATAGTTCCATAACGAAACAGGTACTAAAACAAAATTTCAATCACATTATACACAGAATAGCTTCTTCGCGCACTCACAGCGTTCTATGAATCTTCTACTGAAAATGCCACGTGGAGACCAATCGCACAGAGTTCACATGGAAGCGTAATGTGCCTCTCACATCAAAACAACAGTCTTGAATACTGTCCAATATGACTCGTGATTATGAGGCATTCCTCCCTGCGGTTCATTTTCGGATTCTTGGAATTAATCCGGAACGCCTCGACAGGTTTGCACGCTTGCATTCTCGATTCGTGTGCGAGGATCGTAACTTCAACTTCAAAACCTTCCCGTTATGTCTCTGTGTCCTATGCGTGCATAGTGGACTATTTGGTTTACGTTTGCCGACTGTGTGTTTTTTATGTGAGCACAAAGAGATAGACCGTTACCCAAACTCATGCAATCACCGCCTCTGCCGTTTGAGCAAATTATGCAGTTTTTCGTTATACATAGACGGTCATATAGGCGGTTGGGAAATAGTTGGTGTCTTAGAGTGACCAATGGTATTTCTATCACTCTTACGGAATTCTCTAAACCGACCCTTATTAAGCAAAGACAATTTATGCAATTTTGCGTTGAACATAAGTATAGGCGGTTGCAAACTATATAGGTTTTTAGAGTATTTAAACCTGTTATTTTAATATGAGATGCACGTTACGCTTCCACGTAAACTCTGTGCATTTGGTCTCCACGTGCCATAGTTGGCTTAAGTTTAGGTAACAGTCTATCTGATCTCTTGTAAAGCGTCGAAGACGAATACATAGGCGAAATGAGTAGACTACTTCGCTTCCGTATAAAAGAACACCTAAGCGGCAAACTAAGGTTAAACTAAGTACTCCACTATGCACGCATAAGACACAAAGACATGACGAGAAAGTTTTGAAGTAGAAGTTACGGTCCTCGCATAGGAGGCGAAAACACAAACACGAAAAATTCTCGAGGCGTTCGGAATTAATTCGAAGAATCCGAACATGAAGCGCATTGAGGAATGCCTCATGATCACGCGTTATATTGGACAGTATTTAAGACTGTTGTTTTGATGTGAGAGGCACATTACGCTTCCATGTGAACTCTGTGCGATTGGTCTCCACGTGCATTTTCAGTGGAAGATTCATAAAAAGCTGTGAATGTACGAAGAAGCTATTCTGTGTTCCATGTGATTGAAATCTTGTTTTAGTGTCTGTTTCGTTATGGAAGTATTTAGCTATGTAGATTGCGGTCAACTCGACCTTTCCAAGCTCTGAGGAAGGTGAGATCCGCATGAAAGTAGGTTTTTCCGTGAATAAAGAATGTAATCAAACAACATTCCGTATTTGCTCAACAAGAATACAAAGAGTTATTTGATCCGAGCCGACGTTAGTAGAAAGTTGGTCGCGAGAATTATTACGAGTGATATTTTGGTAGTGAAATTTTTGTATAGCTTACGAAATATCTTTATATTACATATTGAGTGAGGAAACACTCGTTTTCTATTGCCTCCATGATTGCTCCTATTTCAGCTGAGCCAAAAGCTTTTCTTAAATCGAAAGAACCGATGGATAAATTGTCATCGTTTGCTTGTTCTCCATATTAGTGAATTCGTTGTGAAAGGACCATGTTTGCTCAGATGGCTGACCGCTATCCATTGTTTTATCAATCCTATTTGGGATGACACGAGTGAAGAGTTTGTAGACGACAAACTGCATACAGATTGGGCGATAGTTGTCGATATCGTGGAGGCCCCCGTCCTGAACAGAACCCCTGTCTTGTTGGTCGTTAAAGTATCTTCACTAACGAAATAACAAGTCGGATTCCAGAAGGAATACCCGGCGGGACGACGAAGGATTTCTTTTTTATTTTATATGAAAGAAGAAGAACGTGGCTACAAAAGAGTACAGAGTACTAATAGTGAAGTACTTTTCTATTGCGTTATTGGAAACAATAACTGTTCCATCCAGGTGTCGGTGTGCAAAAATATTTATTCCATAATTGCCGAATTTTTGGTGGATTTGCGAATGCTTTTCTCAGCCTATGCAGCTTCGAGGCCTTATTCCGCTTGTCTACATTGTTTTGCACATCGAACTTGAGCTATGGGTTCAGATCGGCAATGTGAAGATGTTAAATGAACCGATCATGTTTCTCGACACAATGTTATCAAGAACGGAATCTTCCCAATAACACTTAATAAATCCCAGCTTAATGAGGTTTTTGGATTTCGTGTTTTATGCTCAGCTGCTTTTTCTATCTTTCAGTAAAAATGGAGTCTTGCACGAAGGAGGCGATGGCCTCATCCCGTGTAGAATATTGGGACAACAGCGACATCGGTTGGGCGAAACATTCAATTTACTATAATATGGCCTATTTCGTTATGGTACTGTCCGTTGGAAGACTCCCACGTCCAGAACTGACTTATGGGGTTTCCGGACTTGCAGGTTACCATTAATAGTCTTGACCGTCATAATAAGCTAGGAGGGCCGCTCACCCTGCTTGTTCCATTGTAATCCGTGACTCTCAATGTGACATTCTTCAGACGTTCTTCTTGGTCCAATCTTGGCGCTAAGATTTTCATTGATAATCTTGAAGAATGTATGGTCTTCTCCGTAGAGCTTCTCCAAATCCATATAGAATGCTTCTTCTTCTTCATAGTTTGATGTCGGCGCGTAAACGACGAAGATTGTCAAAGCCGGTATTGATCCACATCTTTTAATCGTAAACGTCCAATTCGGGTTGTTATTTGTTCGAATCAGTCGATGTTCATGGACAAACTCGTGTTGGCGAGAACACCAGCACCGTGGACTTTTCAACTGCCGCATCTTCTTCTCCGGTTTCATAGACGGCGTTGAATGGCTGGCGTCGCCTCGTTTCGGCCACTCCGATGACGTCGTGCCTTATTCTACCTGCTTGCGTGATCAAATCTTCTATCGAGGACTCAGATGCAAGTGTATGTGCATTGTAGGTCCCAATCGTCACCTATGTCTTTGCCATTTACGCATCCTTACAAGGTCCTGCGATTTTGGAAGCCTCTCTGAACTCCTTCTCAACGTTGCGTTATCATGAGCTAGTTAGATGTCAAAAGAATAAGGTGCGTACATTTCATTGCGCTTAGCGTTTCAAACCCAAGCATAGACTGCCAAGCTCTGAATGTTAGAGCTAGGTATGATACTCAAGGGCAGTTTCCAGTCTCTCCGTAGACTGGGAAACTCAAGTGTTGAACACAACTTCTAACCGACTTATATATTCTTCCCTTTTACCTGGTATAATCCGCATAAACGGGAATACACCCGCGCACGCGTGCATAGATACGTCTTCGTAAACAAAAAATATGTTTGCTAAATCGGCTTAGCAGAAACAAAGGATCCGTTCTTTGGATCGACTTCTGTCTCAAGGAACCATAATGTCGCTTTCCCTCCGTAGTTATTCCCCTATGCGCGACGTGCCCCGTTACCTCGGAACTAACCGGCATTAAATTTCTTTATACACTCCGTGGTCCACTAGAGTAAAGAAGGGTTTTCTTGAGCAAACTTCAATCATAGCGTCATTCGTTTAACTTGGCGGCATTTTAATTCTCAGCCGCTTACGCCAGTGCATAGGAAATTCTCAGGACAACAGTAGACCCTTATCTTGTGTATCCTTTTTGTATATACGTATGTGTATACGGTCAACCTTTTTTCTTAAAAGAAGACTGGGCATTGCGAGTAGTTTTACGTAGAGCGGTGGCAAATTAAAAAAACCTTCCCTCAGCCTTTTATGAATTTATTCGACATAGGAAAAGCATATGCTAAAATGCACCGTAATCACGAAAAAATAGTCAAAACGCTTACATGAAGCGCACCATTGTCAGTTCCATGAAAGCTTTTTGGCAATCGAAACTCGTAGTCTGTGAAATCTTAAATGATGCGACGTACACTTATGAAATTACCGAATATCACCGAAGTGACCTCGTTACCCTATGCATAAAAAACTTTCCTTTAAGAAAGGTCTGTGACCATTTCGAATCTCTCACTAAATATGATCCAGCCATAACCTCCCAGTTGAAAAAGCGATCATAGAATATTATTTCCATTTTCGGATCAATGAATTCCTCGATTCGCCTGAAGAGCTCGACTTGTTTCTCGTACAATAATATCTCTCCCTCATAGGCAAATTAGTCTTTGGCAGTTTTTCCTCTTTATGTCGCAAGAGTAAAAGCTATCTTTTGGTCTCAATATCTTGAAGGGCAGTTTGAACGATATATTTAGTTGAAATCACAATGATTAACGTTTTTTTTTCTGCCTTCTATAATTTTTATTGCAGGTTGTATACACATACGTTGTGGTTGTATTTCGCTTAGTAACCTGCCATAAAAATTATAGAAGGCAGAAAACAAAACGTTAATCATTGTGATATATTTAGTTTTTCCCAAACTCAAGCAGGCCATCAATTTCTTAAAACTTCCACTTTTCAAAATGATAAAAACTTATAATTACACTGTAGTTCTTGTCAACTGTCCTTGTTGAACTGATGCTAAGTTAGTATAAATTGTTACTGGCCCCACGCATAACAAAACTGCTTTGAAGAAGGCGAAGTCGCCAAAACGTCAGCCATCGAATCACAATAGCAGCAACTGATAGCAATCTCGTCCCAGTTTAGCAAGGAAAGTTCGTAAAAATTGCACATAACAATTATTAACCCCGAGGTTTATACAAAGTCAGTCTTTTGATTTATACAGCAGTTAATTCGTAAAAACTATAAAGATCCAGTAGAAGTGCAGGAGGAGATTTCTTCTAAACTTTTAATGACGTTCTTCAATTGTTCAAGTCTGTGGTAAATAACCTCTTCGGATTTACTACTCCTATATCGGAGTCTATGAAGAGAACGTAGTCGAATTCCGTGAATTCTTTCAAGAATTGAGCAACAACACAATGACGTCGAAAGAACACCTGAACAAAGACTTCAAATTCTAACACCGCTGCAGAAATCTGGATCGCTTCCAATTCCTGCGGCTTTCCGAATTTTTTTGGTCATTGCCAACATTGTTCCAAAAATATACAAACACCCACGTCACGATGAGGACAGCTGAGATTCTGGTACCTGCCGCTACTTAGTATTCGAAAAGGATAACTTTGAATTGAACTGTAACACAACACGGTTTCTGAAATGTCATCACTTGTTTTCTGCTTCCAACGTGTTAGTAAGATCCGCTAAAGTAGAAAGCCAGAATTAAAAGGCTCCCAGCCAGTGCGTGGCTGGAGTTTCTGCGGAAGTTACGAAACTTGTGTTCAACCAGCTCCAACAAGAGTTTTAGTTACCGCACGAATTTTGGATAACGGAACAAAGCGTTTGGGAAGGTGAAGCCAGATGGAAACAAAACAGAGTTTGTTCGACAGTTTTCAGTAAAATGTTTAGATGTTGGCAGGAAGGGCAAAAACCAAGCAACCACTGACGTCATTCAGACTAAATATTTCAATAGTTTATATGTGATAATTTCACTTTTTCCAGCTGACTGAAGGTAAACTATGTGGGAAAATGGGAGCGAGAAGGAAACAAGTGTTAAAAAAATAAGACTTGCGGACGGACACGTTGGTATGAGCTGTGATCTCCATCAATTACTTCTACGATTCCGATGCGGTACGTCGACTTCCTGCAAACGCACGTCATGTTCAACTGAATTGGGAAAAGAAACAGCTTATCAAATCCATTCGATGCCCTTCTAAAAAGTGCTGATTTCAAAAACGCGCTGGACCGAAATCCAACACACGTCTTAAGGATAAGAGGGATAAATTCGCCATTAACCGGTTGCCTGCCTGGTAGACTGCATGTGACCCGCTCAGCAGCAGGCAAACGGGAACTGGTGAATCAGGTACGACTCATGTTCTTCCAATCCTTTATTTTCTCGCTTAACTTTTTCTGCACTTTGACTTGATGCTTAACTTAACCAGCACGGCTTCTGTAACAGGAGTTCAAACATTTTATTTTGTACTTATAACAAACCTAGGACTGACATTCTTCCAACCTCACCACTGCTCTACAATTAACTGTTTTCTTGGCGAGCAAACATGAGGTTATTAGCACAAAATTTACTCATTCATAGTAGCTGAAGCTTTAACGGTATCGCCTTCGTCAAATCCTGGAAAGGTGAAATCGACACGCAACGCACTCAGTCAAACACTATCATAAGCACGTGAAACACAATGCGTAAATTTTCACTGCACTACAAACAAATCCTTTTAAACACTCACCGCTTTGTTCTCTATGAGTCCTCAAGCTATTTGATGAAGACCAGCCGTACATAGCCTGACATGGGTGAGGAATGTGCCTGGCTCAAGACAAAAAATCGGCCTAAGATATCGCGTTAGGTTAGGGAGGCGTGATCACAAAACACTCTTCCTTGCGGTTCATTTTTGGATTTTTGGAATTTATCTAAAGAGCTTAGAGAGTTGTACTCGCTGATATTTTCGACTCCTCTGCACGGATAGTGATTTTAACTTCAAAATTCTCTTCGTTACTTCCACTTGTTCTAGGGGCGTCTACTGAAGTATATGGATGTACTTGACGCGCATGAAAAACAGATCGATAACGAGGAAGATTTTGAAATACAAGCCCCTGTTCTGGCACTGGAATCTAAAACACTAGCGTGTAAACTTTTCAAGAGTTTTGAATAATTTCCAGAAATCCAAAAATGAGCCGTTAAGAGGTGTGCCTTGCCACTACACGTGACGTCACACCGTACCTCACGTTATTTCTTTGTTACCTGAGCGCGGTATATTCCTCTCAAATCTAAGACTCTTCAGGGCTGGACTCCATCAAGTAACTGGAAGGGTTGCAAAGAACAAAGTGGTGACTATATGGTAACTGGTCTCTGGATGCTTCCAATTTCTTCATTATTTTAAGTTTCCCATGTTAACTGTTTACTTGTAATAATCATACATCTATCCTTGCACTTTCTGCAAATTCTTAGCGACAATCTCATGCCCTTGCCTCGCAGCTGGAAGGAAAGGAATTCTGTAACTTCTTTTTGACTACTGTTCTTCTCCTCCCGACAGTTCGTGCAACGAATAAGCAGCTGCCAGCTGTAGACATTCTTCAGCATGTGCCATTCAAATCTGATTTTTCCCCAGCTATACCTCAGGCTGATCCAATGACCTGACACAGGCACAGTCCTCGCCCATGTATTACTCTGTGCGGCTGCTATCCACCAACTCACTCTGAAGAAGGCGAAACCGCCGAAACGTCAGCTATTCTATCCTAATAAATTCTATAACAACAACCTTGTGTCTGCCTATTGAAGAAAAACATCGAATTATCAATCAGTGCCAAGGTTAACAGAAAGTCGGTCATGGGAATCGGCTTTTTGTAAAAGCTGCTGTATTGCTACCACATATGTATTATTTGTAAAAGCTTTGTACAGCGTAAATCACAATGTTAACTTCTTCATTTACTGCCTACTACAATTCTTACTCCAGGGTATCGTGCGAAATCAACCACAACGATGTTGAGAAATTTGCAAAACTCTGGAGGGCAGGTGCCTGCGGAGGGGATGGAACACGTTATTACCCTTTCCGGTTGGTAATCCTTTCAACACCACGCCATGCGGGTCCTTCGTTTTGCCTTTCTCTCAATTAGTTTTCTATCTACCAGTGCCATCAGCAATCACCCTTCAGTGAAATAAAATAGACAAATTTCAAATAACACCAGTAAATAAAAAAGTTAATATTGCAATTTCAACTATAAGCTTAGTTTAATTCAGTTCAATGGCGATCTGTGTTTTACAGATCAATCCCATTGACGGGTGTTTGTCGATAGCATTGGTAGATAGAAAACTAGCTGAGAGACATGCGGAACGAAGGACCCATATGGTGTGGTGGTGAACGCATTAGCCCCCGAAAGAATTATAGCGTGTTCGATCCTCACCGCAGCCAACTGCAGTTCGGAGTTTTGTGCTTTGTATAGTCTTCAAAAGCTCTGTACAGCTTCTTTAAGCATTATCTCTAGCTCCTTCTTTCAAAATTCCGCCCATTACAGAAAGGGATGTAAGGAGCACTATTAGTCATCCGGAGAGTGCCCGTAGTCCCACTGCCTCAGCTTCTCCGCTTCTCCGCATTCCAGTGTTCCCGCGCTTCGCTCGTATCCGTTCGCTCAACTAGATATCGCCAGATTGTTAACATTGTATTTTTATTATTGCTATAAACTGTTTTAATCCAAGCTTGAGGATGTTCTCTGTAGCTGCGGAAAAAGTCCTGCGTGGCAAACTCGCACAAAGTCGAGCATTCCATCTACAGTTGGAGGACAGAGGACAAATCCGACTAACCACTACTATGTTCCACTGGTCAACTTGTACAGAGTACTTCAAAAAGCTACTTGCCTTTAAACTCACTATGATTAAACAGTGCATGTTCTTCCGTTGGCCAGCTAACACGAATCTGATAAAATAAATTTTATTCAGTTAACATTTCGACGTCTCCGTCTTTCTCAGAGCCATTGATCGGAGTTGATGGTCCACAGTCGTTTCTCTTCTCGACGGGGCGTCTTCGTCCTCGTAACCAGTCAGATCTTTTTCAGCGGTACATCGTTCGAATAAGGCAAACTCTCCCAGCGTGGCGCCTTTATACAGGACGGTTATTGCTGTCTGACTATTCGCTGGAATTAATTTGTCGTTTAACTGGTAAACGATCCTGCGTCAGTTCAGTCCGCCCATCAACAACCACCTTGTGTAGAAAAGCGAGCGCTACCGTGTGAAGTTGCCTCATTCGAGTGGTGCTCTACTGAAGACGACCCAAGTCGATACGAAGACGAAGATTAGCAACTGTGGACCATCAACTTCATCATTGGCTCTGAGGAAGATGAAGACGTCAGTGAAGTTTATTTGATCAACCTGGGCTTAGCTCATTAATGAAGGAATACGTAAAACACTGTGTTTAAAAAAAGCTGTTTATTACGCAAATAAAAATTTATGTATTAAGCTTTATCTAAAGTATTTGGGTGAGCAGATTGTGTGTCAAATTGACGGTTCGAAGCTGCGAAGAAGACGAAATCGCCTAAACGTCGGCTATGGTGAATGAATAAACGCTCTGATATAAGCAGCGTGTCTGTTCATAAAGAAACAGTATATATATATATATATATATATATATATATATATGTTTATGCAAACAACCACCCACCAAACAACGACAAATGCTTCCTATCAGGCTGTAACACATGAAATGTCCGATTTTAGATGTAATTTTTAAATAACCGTAACTTATTTGTGCTAAAAACTGTTAATTAGAATACACACCATTAAAATCACTATATTTTTTCCAGCAAGAAACAAATTTACTTATTCCAGTTGCATAAAAGCCTGGTGTTATAGAAGCGATGAATTCGTTGAAGGCATTTTTTACGTCGCCGTGGTTGGTGAAGCATTTCTCGCAAACGAAGTTGTCGAAGTGCTTGAAGAAGTGATAGCCAGTGGGCGAGAGGTCTGATGAATATGGCGGACAAGGCAAAGTTTCTTAGACCAACTCGCACAACTTCTGCAGCGCTGGTTCCGCAACGTGAGGCCTGGCGTTGTCGTGGAGAAGAATAAATTCTTTTCTGCGGACTAGTGTCAGTCGTTGCTGTTGGAATTTACGGTGCATTTCGTCGATCTCTTGGCAATACTTCTTTGCCGTAATGGTTTCGTCCGGATTGAAAAGGCTGTGGTGAATCAGCCTGGCTGCAGACCACCGAACAGTTACCATTGCCTTTCTTTAGTGAATTTCGGCCTTGGGAAGTGCTCTGGGCTCCGATCGAAATCCAGCCATTGAGCTGAACCCTGCCGATTGTCTTAAAGAATCTACTTCTCGTTGCACGTCACGATTTGATCAAGAAAATGGTGGTTTTCTTGCGCAGAATAACAGCAGACGGCACTTCCAGGCGGCAAATTTTTTTGACTGTCCTTTGATTCTTGCCTCACCCACTTGTCGAGCTTACCCGTCTTTTCTATGCGATTCAAGTGAGCGGAAATTGTTTC